CAGGCAGCTGGGGACTGAGACAGGCCATGGGCAGCCCCCAGAGGCTCAGGTACAAGATAAGCCACTCATTTGCAAAGCCTTCTCCAGTGGAGGCAACCCCTACGTGACTTGTGTCCTCTTGTGAGTCCTGGCAAAGTCTGGAGCCTGGCGCCCGGATTTCCCACACTGATTTTCCTGGGGATTATGCTGTTTCTAATGATCAATTAAAGCAAATTGGCCAGGTCCCCCAGGCCCCTAAATCCCTGTTAATCCCTGGCACCTTCTGTAACTCCAAGTGCTCATTCATTAAGTGGCAGTCCCATGGGGAAGTGTTTGCTCCAAGCATGGCTCTTCCCACATGAAACCTTCCGGGTCTGGGCTGTTTGTCTGGGTTCGAGAACTTGCTGTTTCTAATTGAGTTGTTTATTCTGGTGCTGTTTGCTCTGAACCAATCTCCCTTTCTTGGCTGGAATGAGGAAGTTCACTTTCTCGGGAACATTTTACTGCTTAGCTGCCTCCTTATCGCCACTAATGATCCCATTAACCTCCTAAGAGCTGTCATGCTGGCTCTGCCGTGGACAGGCAGGAGGCATCTCAGGTTGTTTGTGCCTTTTGCACTCTTGTCACCCTCCTGCATGACCCACCTGTTCCACCTGCCTCAGCAACTTTTGTCGTTGGTGCTGTCATTCGACAGTACCTCCTGCTTTTCCCTAACACAATCCAACACACTCCATCCCCTTCCCTCTTCTCTCATCCTCCAAGCTTGTCTCCTTGGGGCTGTTTGACCTTGTTTCTACCTGGGAATCTGAAGTCCTTTTGCTACAGCAGGTCCCACAGCCGTGCCAGCCCTGGAGAGTGTCTGTGCAGAGGATTACACACAAAGGCACTTCACCACAGGTACGAAGCTGTGGTTCCCTGTGTGCTGACCCATGGCAGAATGTGGGCAGATGGCTCCTCACTGGGCTACCCTTTCTCCAGCTGGGTGGGGCTGAGAGAGCAGCCAGCATGTCTGGCTGCCAGAAGCATGTCACCCCTGTGCCACAGGCAGGGACCTGCAGGGACAGCTGGACCCAGCCAGACCAAAGTGCCATAGAATCATAGAATCCCAGAATGGTCTGGGTTAGAAGAGACCTCTAAAGGTCATCTATTCCACCCCCTGCTATGAGCAGGGACACCTTCCACTAGACCAGGGTGCTCCAAGCCTCATCCAACCTCGCCTTGGACACTTCCACGGATGGGGCAGCCACAGCTTCTCTGGGCAACCTGTGCCAGGGTCTCACCATCCTCACCGTAAAAAACTCCTTTCCTATATCCCATCTAACTCTGTCCCATTTGTCCTATTGCAACAGGCCCTGCTAACAGGCTTTTCCCTCCACAGGACTTAACCAGGCTGGGGACACAGCTGCAGCCCACAAGCCACAAACCACGGCATTATTTTTATTTTTCCCAGTGGGAAAACTCATCCTGCAGCACAGGAGGATGCAGAAAGGATATCTGAGGACTGAGAGAATGAGCCAACTGCCCTCCTTCGGCATCCCCAGCAGCAGGCAGGGCAGGGAGAGGTGCTGTGCCCAGGGCAGCTGGCGGTGGCGAGGAGCGCAGTGCGCGCCGCGGTGGCTGCGGTCTTGCTGCCAGGTTACTGCCTGCTGTTTGTTCCACTTCCTGATAGCAACAAATGCCTGTGGCTGGGTGTCAGGGCAGGGTGCTGGGGACACAAACTGCCAGGGAACACTGCGTATCCATCCGAGCAGCCCCACCCTGCCACAGCCCTGGGCACAGCCGCCGCTGCCCTGTGCGCTGGCTCCGGCAGGTCCCCATCCCACGGGGGCTGTGGAGGGACAGGCAGTGTTCCTGGGATGGGGGGACAGCCCTGTGGCCTGGGATGGGGCCAGAAGCCCCGAGGGGGCTGGCAGCTGGCACTGCTGGGTGCTGTCCCAGCCCTCAGCAGAGGGCACAGGCCCGGGCTGGTTCCCCGGTTATGTAAGGGCAGCATGGCACCGGGACAACAGCCTGTGCTGCTTTGGGGTGTGCTGCCACTGCCCCACAGGTGCCGGTGCTTGTGGGCTGCCAGTGCTGGCAAAGGGCACAGCTGCAGTGTGCCTGTGGTGGGCAGCCCTGCCAGCAGCTCCTGGCATGCATGTGTGCTGGGAACAGCTCCCTTCCCTCTGCCTGCGCTGTGGCCTGCCTGCCGTGGTGGCCTGAAGCCTCTTACCCAGCTGGGACTGCTTGGAGGCATGCTAGGCTCTCAGCCTGACCCACCTTGGAAAAACCCCCTTCCCAGGGGACATGGACAGAGGGGAAACTGAGGCACGGCAGAAGGGTAGGTGAGCTGTGGGGATGGGCTAGACGAGGACCCTCAGCTCTGGTGCAGCTCCTCTGCACACTCCACCCACCCTGCTGCACGGCTTTTTGGGGGATAGGCTCTGCATGCCTGGATTGTTGCTGGGGCATCCTCAGCTTGCATCCCTCCCTCCCCAGCTATCCCAGATGGGGGGGTCCTAGTGCTCATGGAATGCTTGTGCAGGTGTCCTGGGTTGGAAGAGACCTCTAAAGGTCATCTATTCCACCCCCTGCTATGGGCAGGGACACCTTCCACTAGACCAGGGTGCTCCAAGCCTCATCCAACCTGGCCTGGGACACTTCCAGGGATGGGGCAGCCACGGCTTCCCTGGCTGCCTGTGTAGGCTCCAGCTGGTTCTGGCTCTCACCATGCACCAACCCCCACGGCACCGAGCTGCGGCTTGCTCGGGGCTGGTGCCACTCTCCAGTGAGAGCCTCCACTGTGCAGCACAGCTTCCCCTCCTGAGAGGGGCCCAGTCCTGGGCAGCTGCACTGGGCTGACCTGGGCCCACGAGGGTGCCGGGCACCAAGGACTGCGTGGAAAATCCCACTCATGCATCTGTCTGCAGAGCTCCCGCGGGGCTGGGCTGGGCTGGGACATGATGTTCGATTTGAGGAGCAGGGAGGCACACAGTGTTTGAGGCGCAGCGAGAGATGTTGCATAAGGCCCTTCTGCCTGGCTGGAGTGGAATCTCCCCAGGAGAACGCAGTGAAGGAGACCATGCTGGCTGGGGGTGTCTCCCCTATATCCTGACCCTTGGGCAGACTCTCAAATCCTGCTGCTCTCCCTGTGCTGCCCCAAACCCCCTCCCAGGCAGCTGCTCACGCTGCACTCAGCATCCCATACACAGGCTCCAACAGCAACCTGCACCTCCCGAGCCCTTCTCTCTATCTCACCCCTGAGCTGAGGCAGTCGGGGTGAATCCAGGGCTGGCTGGGACACACCAGGGGCTGGGTGCGGGTGTCAGGGGGTGCGGGGTGCTGGGGTGTTTGTTAACCCCTCCAGCACCGTGGGGCAGTGGGGAGGGGGGGCTCTGCAAGGGCTGCCCTGTGCCATTGGCTGGCACTTTGTCACACCACGCTGCAGGACAGGAAAGGCTCTGCCCACCCGTGGGAGGAAGGCTGAGCTCTGAAACAAGGGGCTGGGAACGAGTGGCTGCAATGAGTGGGTTTTGCCACAGCCTGTCCTCTGTGCCTCTGTGCTGTGCAGGACCCCAGGGCTGTGGGGACAGGACAGAGGACAAGGAGAGGCAGCAAACGGGACTCCCAACGCCATCACTGCACCCCTTGAACGCAGCTGGATTGAGGGGTGCAATTAGAACAAATGGGGCACAGAGCTCATTGCTGCAGGCCAAAGCTTCCCCAGCCAAGAGGGGCCACAAGGATGGCCCAAACATTCCCCAGCACCCCCAAAACCCACCGTAGTGGTCTGGCCAGTGCAAGCACAGCTGGATCCAGCTGCCCTGTGGAACAGCCCTTCCTGGAGCAGCTGTAAACCTGAGAGGCTGGCAGCACTTGGGTTCTCCACAGGCTGCTGCAGTGCCTGTGTGTGCAAGGGATGTGTATGTACGTGGTAGAGGAGCCTGAACCTGCCTACACACACGGAGGAAATGTTATCAGACACACAGGGAAAGTCATCACACGTACTCACGAGGCACATGCATGTGCCCTTGCACTAGAGCACTTGCAGGGCTGCCTGCACAAGGCTGCTGTGGGATCAGCGTGTTGGGACACACGGAACAGGAGGAGAAAGCCACCCAATAACGATTTCAAGCCCATAGCCTGTGTTTTGCTGTTTACCCAGCGTTTCCAGGGTGCCAACCACCCCCAGCTCCGTGACTCACGCAGGGCTGGGGCTGAGCCACTCTCACCACAGCAGAGACATGAAACCGTGTGAGCTGCAGCACAGGGCATGGCCCCCTACCTGCTCCCTGGCCCCAGGCACTGCTGGCCCGAGGAGGGCTCCAGATGGCCCAGGAGTTGTGTCCCTAGAAAACCCCAGGGGAGGAACTGCACCTTGCTTCAAACATCCTGCCAGCCAGGGGCTCTGCACAAACACCTCCAGGCTTTAACCTGTAGTAGCCATCAGCAGCCCCAGAGATGGAGGGTTTGGGCTTTTTCTTTTGCCCTCCATCACATACCCCAAGGGGTTGAATCAAAATCTGGCTGAGCCCTAAAACAGGGTTGGGGCATTCTGTTCAATCCAGATGACCCATCCTCTTACTCTCATATCATGTTTTCAGATTGCCCAAAATGAAAAAAAAAAACAACCAAACAAAAAATATCAATGATGGCTGTGAGAACAAAAACACCAAAGGGAAGAGCAGAGCAGGGGGTACATACAGCTCCACGCAGCCTGAGAAGAGCCTCCTTTCTGCTTGTGTCCCCAAGTCTGCCCTGCACAGGTGTGCCACAGGGGACAGACACCTGCAGGTTCACAGCATTTTCCTACAAAACATCCAGCCCCTGGAAGGGGCTGCTTGCTCATATCTCCAAAAACCTATCTTGGCTCAGGCAGGGCCATCTCAGGGGAACTAAGCCCCAGTGCAAAGGTTTTCCCAGCTGGGGAACAGCACCAACCCAGTATCCTCACCAGTCCCATTCCAGCAATTTCCAGTATCTTCCCCAGTGCCACCACTCTCCCACCTCTTCCCAGCCACAGACACAGCTTGGGGCATGGGTATATACAAAAAGTAGAGTTTATTGCCATTTCTATCTAGATTTACACAACAGTGTCACCGCTTCTGACATCAAAAGCAATGTCCCGTCACACCCCAGAGAACAGGCCAGGGATAGAGGGGAGCCCAAGAACAAGGTGGCTCCTCCACCCCAGTGGGTTGGAGCACAACCTGCCTTGTGGCTCTGCCCAGTGGTCAGTCCAGATCCTCTCAGCACTGCCACATGGTCCTTCTGTCAGGTGGGATACCAGAGAGGAGTGAATCTGCCTCCTCCTCAGTGTCACTCGCAATAGTTGTCTGTCCACTGCCAGGTGCTCACCATTCCAGTCTGCCTTCGAATGCCCCAGATGTTGAGATGGGCACGGCTGACCCAGAGCAGGCACCCCACAGCCTCAGAGGCACCTCTCGTACACATGCTCACACATAGATACAGCTACAGAAGATGCCCAAACTAACAAAACAAGCTTTTTTTTTACTTGTAATCCCCACACTGCTGTGCGTTCAGCCACGGTCTACGCTGCAGCTGCCATCCCTGGTGCTGCTCAGTCTGGGTCGGGTTCCAGCAGGCTCCTGGGTGGCTTGCGGGACATATCTGCTTTGCTCACTAAACATCCATCTCCCTCCAATGTCAGGCTTTGCCAGAAAGAGACACCCCCCTGCAGAACGCAGCCACGGCCTGGGGCTTGGCTCCTTCCAACCGCAGGTTCCAGCACGGTGCCGAAGCCTGCCCAGCTCTGCCCTCCAGCAGGGCCCGGGACAGGCACCACAGAGCTCCTCCTGGCACCTGGTGGGCGGTTGGAGGGGAGGGGGGGTCAGCTGCCCCTGTCTTCCTTGCAGAAGAGCATCCTCATGAAGGAGACGGCCACTGGCTCTGCGGGCTGGCCAGGGCTACCCAAGGGGCACAGCTCAGTGCCAGGGTCTGGCAGTCCTTCGTGTGAGATGAAGGTGGAAACGATTTTGCAGGAGATTAAGTAGAAAGAGTTCTGTGGCTCTGCCCACCCCGAGGACAGAGCCACCTTACACCGCAGAGCCCCCGGAGTGCTGGGCCGGGGCAGCCACCCCGGGGCTCTGCTCCTCAGGGCACAGCACCTCTGCTGGGAGCCGGGACTGGAACTTCTCCAGCTGCTCAGGGCTGGCCAGGGTCTTCAGGAGGCTGTTCTCACGCTCCAGCTGGGAGTTTTTCTCCAACAGTTCCTTGATTTGCTCTTTCAGGACCTCCACCTCCTCCCGCACAGCATACATCAGATGATTTTTCACAAGATCCTGCAAAAGGCCATAGAAGAGACCAATCAATGGAGAGTAATGCCCGGGGGGGTTGCTCCCTCCCGTTCCCAAGTGCTGGGGCAAGTGCCAAATGCTGCAGAAGCTTTTCCCAAGGACCATCCCTCCCCACCCTTGGAACCCCGGCCAGGGCTTGGTGCTCATCCAGCATAGCTGCCTCAGCCGCCATCTCTCTGGTCTCTCTGCATCCATAAGCTCTTTCCAGCCCCCTAACCAGCCCCGGCATTTGGGGGGCTGGAGCTCCCGAGCACCCAGGGCAGCCGGCTCGGGCAGCCCAGACCCCGGAGTCCCCCTGCGCGTCCACCCTCGCTGCCTGCGCACTGCGGAGCGGCTGGAGCCAATGAGCTTCGCGGCGGCCGGACAAAGAGCAGCTCTGCCCGGCAGCGGGATGCGGAGTGGAGACCCCCGCGGGCAGCGGGACCCCCGCCCTGGCCGAGCACCCCCCGGGAGCGGGAAGCCCACCCCCGTGCCCAGCACCCGGGCTGACGGGGGAAGGTGCGGGGCAGAGGGGGCAGCGCTGCAGCTCACCATCGCCTGCTCGATCTTGTTGTCGATGGCCACCACGCTGGCTCCGGAGGCGCTGGAAGAGAGCGGAGAGGCCGAGGGTCAGCACCGAAAACCTCCCTTCCACAGGGGTCCGTGCACCGCGACACCTCCCCCCGCACCAGGGGCGTCCTCCTCCCCAGGGGAATCCATTCATTCCGGCACCGGTCGCGTACGTCCTTCGCTCCCGGAGCAGCAATGCCCCACCTCATCCGTGGGGCTCGCAGCAGCACCCCCGGGCCCTGGGACGCCCCTTCCCCCAGATCTCTGCGGCGAACGGCGGGGCTGCCCCTACCTGTTGTCGAGCTTCACGGAGACTACATCCCCCCCGAGCAGGGAGGAGAAGAAGGAGATGGAGAAGTTGTGCAGCTGGTAGACAGCCACCTCCATGGGGGACTGGTACATGCCGGTGCTCATGGCTGCGGGCGCAGGGACACACACTCGCACAGTCGGAGCGGAACGCACTGCCGGGAGCGCGGCGCCGCCCCCGCTTTTATCGGCGGCGCCCGCCCTGCCGGGAGGGGCGAGCGCGGCGGGGACCGCCCGCCGCCCGCAGCGCCGGTCCTGCCCCGCTGCTGCCCCCCGGTACTGCCCCCGGTATGGC